GTTCCCAACATTCCCAGTAAACCATTCCCAAATAAACCATTCCCAATTAATCATTCCCAATTATCCCAAATTAACCATTCCCAATTAACCATTCCCACCATTCCCAATTATCCCAAATTAACCATTCCCACCATTCCCAATTCTCCCCAATTAACCATTCCCAATAAACCATTCCCACCATTCCCAATAAACCATTCCCAATTATCCCCAATTAACCATTCCCAATTAACCCTAATAAACCATCGCAAATAAACCATTCCAAATTAACCATTCCCAATTAACCATTCCCAATTATCCCGTTAACCATTCCCAATTAACCATTCCCACCATTCCCAATTCTCCCCAATTAACCATTTCCAATAAACCATTCCCACCATTCCCAATAAACCATTCCCAATTATCCCAAATTAACTATCCCCAATTAACCCTAATAAACCATCCCAAATAAACCATTCCAAATTAACCATTCCCACCATTCCCAATTATCCCAAATTAACCATTCCCAATTAACCATTCCCACCATTCCCAATTATCCCAAATAAACCATTCCCAATTAACCATTCCCACCATTCCCAATTATTCCCAATTAACCATTCCCACCATTCCCAATAAACCATTCCCAATTATCCCCAATTAACCATCCCCAATTAACCCTAATAAACCATCCCAAATAAACCATTCCCAATTAACCATTCCCAATTATCCCCAGTTAACCATTCCCAATTAACCATTCCCACCATTCCAAATTCTCCCCAATTAACCATTCCAAATAAACCATCCCCACCATTCCCAATAAACCATTCCCACCATTCCCAATAAACCATCCCCAATAAACCATCCCCAATTAACCATTCCCACCATTCCCAATTATCCCCAATTAACCATTCCCAATTAACCCTAATAAACCATCCCAAATAAACCATTCCCAATTAACCATTCCCAATAAACCATTCCCACCATTCCCAATAAACCATTCCCACCATTCCCAATTAACCATTCCCACCATTCCCAATAAACCATTCCCAATTATCCCCAATTAACCATTCCCAATTAACCATTCCCAATTAACCATTCCCAATTAACCATTCCCACCATTCCAAATTCTCCCCAATTAACCATTCCCAATAAACCATTCCCACCATTCCCAATTATCCCCAATTAACCATTCCCAATTAACCCTAATAAACCATCCCAAATAAACCATTCCCAATTAACCATTCCCAATTATCCCCAGTTAACCATTCCCAATTAACCATTCCCACCATTCCAAATTCTCCCCAATTAACCATTCCCAATAAACCATTCCCACCATTCCCAATAAACCATTCCCAATTATCCCCAATTAACCATCCCCAATTAACCATTCCCAATTAACCCTAATAAACCATCCCAAATAAACCATTCCCAATTAACCATCCCCAATTAACCCTAATAAACCATCCCAAATAAACCATTCCCAATTACCAATTATCCCCAATTAACCATTCCCAATAAACCATTCCCACCATTCCCAATAAACCATTCCCACCATTCCCAATTAACCATTCCCAATTATCCCCAATTAACCATTCCCAATTAACCATCCCCAATTAACCATTCCCAGTTCCTCCGGAAGTGGCTCTCTTCCCGAAACACGCCGTGGAACTGGGCGATCCCAACATCCTCATCTGCTGCGTCTCCAAGTTCTGGCCGCCGGTGCTGCGGCTCCGTTGGCTCCGGAACGGGATCCCGGAATTCCAAGGGGTGTTGGACATGCCCTTTTATCCGGATCGGGATAACACCTTCCGGAAATTCTCCTACCTGCCCTTCATCCCCCAGCCCGGGGATTATTACGACTGCCAGGTGGAGCACGAGGGGTTGGCCGAGCCCAGCGTGGCGCATTGGGGTGAGGATCCGGGGAAAATTGGGAATTTTGAGAATTTTTGGGGAATTTTGGGAATTTTTTGGGATTTTTTTGGGAATTTTTTGGGGAATTTCTTTGATTTTTTTGGGGTTTTTTGGGTTTTTTTTTGGAATTTTTGTGGGTTTCTTTCTTTACTTAATTGGGAAATTTTTTGGGATTTTTTAAAATTTTTTGGGGGATTTTTTGGGGAATTTTTTGCAAATTTTTTTTGATTTTTTTGGAATTTTTTAGAATTTTTTTAGGAATTTTTTTGGGTTTTCTGAGGATTTTTTGGGATTTTTTTGAGGATTTGGATTATTAAGATCTGCCAGGTGGAGCACGAGGGGTTGGCCGAGCCCAGCGTGGCGCATTGGGGTGAGGATCCGGGGAAAATTGGGAATTTTGGGAATTTTTTGGGAATTTTGGGAATTTTTTGGGATTTTTTTTGGAATTTTTTGGGGAATTTCTTTGATTTTTTTGGGGTTTTTTGGGGTTTTTTTGGGAATTTTTCTAGGTTTCTTTCTTTACTTATTTGGGAGATTTTTGGGGATTTTTTTTTAATTTTTGGGGGGATTTTTTTTGGATTTTTTTGCAAATTTTTTTTATTTTTTGGGAATTTTTTGGGAATTTTTTGGATTTTTTTTTAATTTTTTAAGGATTTTTTTTTTATTATTTTTTTGTTTTTTGGGAATTTTTGGTTGTGTTTTTTTATTTATTTGGGAGATTTTTTGGGGATTTTTCTGAAATGTTTTGGGGATTTTTTGGGAATTTTTTGGCACATTTTTGGGATTTTTTGGGGGGGATTTTTTTTGGGATAAAAATGGGATTCGAGGTGAGAATTGGGGGATTTGGGGTGGGAATGGGGAGGGAAAAGGGAT